TGAAGAATATGGGGATGCCTAACCTGAAGAGAAAAGTCCTAGGGAATTGTTCATGTCCTCCCTATTTGGAGGGTTTCCATTTGGAATAGGTATTAGATTTATTCTGCATCACTTTGAAGGGCATATGAACTCTGGTGAAATTAAAGGGAGATACACTCTGACTCAGCATATGAAGGGGCACTTCCTGATAGAGGTATCTGAAAGTAGAAAAAAACCTCCTTAAATTATAATGGAGTTTCCTATGTGTAGGAAACAGAATCTGGGCTATTTTAGAGAAGTGGAGGTAGGACAGATAGGTGAGGTTAAGTTTGTCTCCCCCTTCCCAATACATACTTTAATGTTATTCTTTCTATAATGGAAAGGAAGTTTAAATTGCTCTATAACCATCTGAATCTTAGTCTACTGGGTTCTTTGTTTGGAGCTGGGGTTGGGATGATGTTGACTCCTTTACGCCTCAGCAGGAATGTCAGATAAAGTTGATGTGTTCTCGCTCATGCAAGAAAGAAGGAATTGTATTTGCTTCTGTTAAAACACAGAACATGTAAAGAAACTTCTCATCCACCCCACTGCATTCCCTAGTTTATTGTCTCAGTATATGTGTAAATCCTTCTTCAAAGGTGGGAAGTTGAAGTTCTCTAGTTAAAGTGTTTTTAATGTCTTTTCATTTCTTAGGTAGAGAAGATTATCTGTAATTTAAAACCAGCTTTAAAACTTCGTCTTCGATTCATCACACACATTAGCAAGATGGAACCAGCTGCAGTGCCTCCACAAGCCATAAACAGTGGGTCTCCAGCCCCGCAGTCTAATCAGGTGCCAGTGTCCTTACCAGTAACTCAGTGAAGTCAGAGTGTACTGTGGAGAAAATGGAAATATACCCATCTTTGAAAGTGGACTCATCTATTAAATCTGAACATGATCATGCTACAGTGATGTAGTAAAAGCAGCAGTGATGTTCAGATTGTTTTATTTTGATTCAAGTGGTGAATCTGTTGACACCTTATAACTCCCTATCTATGTTTTTGTCTTTAGGAGATCAAGTAAGCTACATGTCGTTCATATTTATAACAATTTATTAGAGCTACCTAGGAACATAGAGGTATCTGTGATCAAATGACTTTTACTAGGCACTCTCTATCTTTCCTAGTCTAGCCTTTGTTTTTGTTTTTATTTTTTATTATTAGTGGCATGTGCAGTCTTCAAATACATTATTTTAAAGGCAGCAAGTATATAAAACAGTTATTACAAATCCTTTTATACATAAATCTCCTTTGGTATAGCTTCAGGATAATAGAGATTTTTTTTTTTTTTTTTTTTAAAGATGACCGGTAAGGGGATCTTAAACCTTGACTTGGTGTTGTCAGCACCATGCTCACCCAGTGAGCTAACCGGCCATCCCTATTTGGGATCCGAACCCGGGGCCTTGGTGTTATCAACACCGCACTCTCCCAAGTGAGCCACGGGCCGGCCTGATAATAGAGATTTTTATTGAGTAAAGGATTGTAGAATATATTACATTGAAGGAACAAACAAGGTTTCATATTCTTTTAAGAATGGCTTGAAAACTTTACTGTAAATTTCTAAGTAAATAGTTCAGTGTTTCTGTCAAGGTAGATTGGCAGTTTTTTGCCTTTGCTGTGGACTTGAATTTACTGTATGAAATAAGTTGAAGGCCATGTAAGAAAATAACCTATTGAAAATGAGTAAACTTAAATAAAATAATGCTTAAATGGTTGATTCTCCAATCTCTGTTGTTAAAAATACATTAATTGCTCTTGCAGGTTGATACACTCACCTGGCAGATGATGTGATTCTTTAAATTTTTATAATCTTAAAATTTAAAAATATTTGTATTTTTTAATATAGTCTACCTTTCAGTTCTTTAGAGTTTATTAGATTTTGAGAGACGTATTGTTAATTTGGGGGAGAAATGACATTGTGAAAGACTTGAAAACTAATTAGTAAAGTCTGTTGAATGAATAAACTGTATGATTTCTTTAATGACTCACTTTCAATGAGCTGTGTGTCAGGCTGTGTGCCTGCTGAGTTACAGCAGGGAACTGGGCTCCTCCACAGGTTCTACACTACAGTTGGTGACTGGCATTGGCCTAGGAATTAAGAATTACTGATTTTTTAAAAAACAATGAGTTAATTTAATCACCGGTACTTCTAACTCTTATTTCTAAATACATTCCTCCTAGATCTTTATTTTCTTCATAGTTGATATTATTGTGATATCAACAATATCAATACGAATCCAGCTTAAAATTTTTATAATGGTATAAATAATTTTTCCAGACTAATAATATTTTTTTTAATTCTTCAGAAATTTAACACTAGAAATTATTTCAAGTATTATCCTTAATATACTCTCAATATATTCTTGCTGCCTTCAGGAATATTGCCTTGAGATCTAGAATGAGAATAATTGTCACACTAGTGTTATACAAATAGAAGAGAGGAAGTAAAAATCAGTATTATCACTTCCTCAGGACACACACATTCCAATTAATTTATTAAAAATTCACTTTTCTCTCTCTTGCTTAAAAAATGAGAATATGATTTTTTCCACGTAGGCTTTTAGATAATTATTACTCAGAGACATTAATAGAAGTCAGAAACTTTGAGTTTAAGATACAGCTGAGGAGGAAAAATAATGCCTTTATATTCATTACATCCTAAGAGTTTTTCTTCTTGAAAATTAATAGTAACTTTAGAGTGGCTCTGTCCAATAGGACTTTCTATAATGATGGAAATGTTCTGTACCTGTGCACCCAGTACAGCAGTAGGTATCTTCATGTGGCTGTTGAACATTTGAAATGTGGAACTGAATTTTTAATTACATTAAGCCATAATTAATTTTTTTTAATTTTTTTTTGTGTGTAAGCCTTAATTTTTTATACATTTATTTTTTATTGAAGTATAATTTATGTAAAATGCACAGATTTTAGATGTACAGTTCTATGTGTTTTGATGAATTTATACACCCAGCTAACTGCCACCCTAATTAAGATATGAAACATTTCTATTACCCCAGTAAATTTGTTTTGTTTTGTTTTGTTGCCTGGCCAGTTCTAGAATCTGAACCTGTGACCTTGTTGTTGCAAGGCCGCACTCTAAATAGATCTGTTTTGTGCCTCTTGCTGTTCAATTCTTTCTACCACACAGGCACCACTAATCTTTTTGCTACTATAGTTTTTTCTGATCTAGGAATTCATATAAGTAGAATCATACATAGGTAGTCTTTTGTGTCTTTTTTTCTTCACTTAATGTTTTTGAAGTCTGTCCATGTTGTTGCGTATATCTCTAGTTCATTCCTTAACTGCTGAAAAATATTCTCTTAAATGGGAATTATGACAAATTTTTACAGTGTGACCTTTCGTGTCTAGCTTCTCTCTCTACTTTGTACAGATGACGAGCCAAAAGAATCAGAATTGAAACTTGGAGAACAAATTCGGGATTCCAAAATAGGATAGAGGTATATATGTTAGGATCCTGGAAGCAGCCAAAATGGACTATTTTGTGGCCGGAGTGGTCTGTGAGGATCTTAAAGTTGGGGCATACAATGAGCTGGAATGAGGGTACCAGAAGATCTGTATAAACTAGGGCTTTAGGATAGGCACCCTTAGGGGATCTGGGTAGTCTGTGCATATTTCTCTGGGAAGGACTGGTCTTGACTTCATTCTCGGGTGATTGCTGTGGTTCAGCTTCTTCTTGAACAGGCTTGCGTTCTGCTTTTCTGAGTTTTGTTCTGTGGTCCTTGAACCAAACCTGCAGTACTGTTGGATATATGTTCATTTTTGAGGCCATTTCTTTCTTAAGGCTGGGGTCTGGATATGGGTTCTTATTGAACAGGAGGTTCAAATCATGCAGTTGTTTCTCAGTGACCATAGTTCGTCTCCTTTGTGAATGCTTCTCGTGCTTGCCTTTAGGAAGGTCCTGTGAGCCTGACATCTTCTCATCTAGATGTGCTCCTATGTGCGGGTCCAGTGATGGATGAGCCCAAGGCTTAATTAATTTAAGTAGCCACATGTGGCTATTGTATTAAGACAATGTATACTCCAGAGTAAGATCCATAATAATTGCTTTTATCTGAAAGTAATTTGATTAAATATTTATCTTATAAAGGCCTAGCAGTAAAAGGCAGCAGTCAGATTTAAAATTCTGGGTTACATGTAAAGGAATCAGATTGTAGTGGCTCTGTAACATAGAGCTGTTAACACACAATAAAAATCCTGTCATGCAGCCTCCTTTATTACAGAGTCCGCTTGGGTTCTTATATTTATTGGGGGAAAGAGGAAGAATTTGCTTCCCTTGTTTTGATTACAGTTTACTCTCATTTGTTTTTGTTTTTGTTTTTGTTTTCATTCGCCTCACTATATTCCAGAGCCAAGATGAATTTTTAGGATGTTTAAGGATTTTAGCTAATGAGACATACTATACTTGCAGTAAGTGGAGGATGGGACAATTGGAAGCCACAGATAATTTTAGGTGAATTCCTAATCTGCATTAGCAGATCTTGGAAACAAAATAGCAGTTTGATTTTTCTGGCTTCTGAATAGATTTTTGGGAATATCTTTTACCTCTTAAAAGGCTACCTGAATAGAAACTATACTAAAATATCAACCTATATCATGTTTGAGGCTTAGAAAAAGTAAAACATTAATGAACTTGGAGATTTCCCAAGCCTATGATAACCCATTTTACAGTGGAAAAAACCAGAGCCAGAGAGCTTAAATAGCTTCACCAAGGTCTTACAATGTTTTGGGAATGGTGACTTCACTGTGACCTTTTAAATATTTATAGTAGTTTTAAGTAAGATGTATATATGCATGTGTGGTGTGTGTGTGTGTATTGCATATATTTAGAAACATGTAGACAATAGAATCTTATGATGAAGAATTTATTATAAAAATTACATCTTTTGAACAACACGGACACATGATCTCTTTCCAGGTGGTGTAGCTTCGTCTCCTGATATTAGGAGTCTTATTCTATGTACAGGGGCTTATATAAGTGTGTTAGATTTGATGCCAGCAAATTTTTAATTGGAAATTAATGTATGCATCTTTTTCTAAGGATAAATCTTTTGTCAAAATGGGAAATATAAGCCTTTTATTTTCACAAAAATTAGAATTTTTCCAAATTTTGAATTTCACACCAAGAAGGGATTGGTAGAATTTATACTAATTGGAAGGAAAACTATAGGCTTAAGTAAATTATTAGATTTGCTAATTATGTCATTAGCTGTGAGAGTTTTATATGATGTTTTCACATTTACTTAGGTGAGTTAAGATAGTCTATGGGTTTATGATTACCCTCCCGAGCAACTCCAAAACAAGCCAGGATTATTGCTACAGATGTGTTCACTGTTCGAGTTACTTCTTCTGGTGTCTTCCCCAGAGATGGGTTCACTTCCATTATATCTAATCCTGAGAGTAATCCTATAACAACAAAGTGTAATAATGTGATTTATAAAATAGTTGACATTATAAAATGAGTACATGTTTAAATCACTTCAAAATCATTACAGACTGACTTGAAAGATTATCCAGTAATATAAAGAGGTGGTAACCAAGAAAAAACACTTTAGTTATTGCATCATGTGAAGGCATTCCAGCAGTATCATTGGGGGCTGGTTTTTAGTTCAAGGAGGTATAAGTATATATTGAGCAAGTGTACACTTGCTTCCTTTACAGGAATTGTACATACCTGTTTTGTAAATTTCTTCTGTGATGTAGAGACCTTCTCGGTAAGACAGACCTCCTACAACTGGTGTGCCAGTAGCTGGTGTGAAAGCTGGGTCCAGTCCATCAACATCAAAACTCAGATGAATGGGCCTTTTCTTTCTTTTAAGAAGTGGGAAAGGATTTCCGTTTAAAGTTGATGATTTAATGTTTAGTAGATAAATATAGTTTTTACCCTGCTTTGTAAAAAGTAACAACCCAGTGAAGTTCCATGATTTTACTTAAAGACTTTAGTAATAACTTACATTGATTAGTGTCAGTAGCAAGTCTTATGTTACACACACACACACACACACACACACACACACGCATCATACCTTCCTAGTAGATAGCTGAGTGTTTCTTCCATCACTTTGCCAATTCCCAGTTTATCCACTTCAGTCATTGAGAAGTATTTAATACCCAGAGTTTTCAAAATGTAGCTATGAAAGAAGAGATATTAAGATAATCTATAATTAATAAGGCTGACTCTATGCCCATATGTTTCCTTTTAAAGAAAAGCTCAGTGTTGGTAAAATGTATAAAATATTCAGGTTCTGTAAAATATATAAAATATTTAGGTTCTGTGAACTGTATGTATATCTCAATATAGTTTAATTTGTATTTTTTGTTTGTTTGTTTTTGGTTTTGTTTTGTTTGTTTTTGTGGCTGGCCAGTTTGGGGATTTGAACCCATGGGTTTGGGGAGCCGAACCTGTGACCTTGGGGTTGTAAGGCTGTGTTCCAACCAACTGAGCTAACCAGCCAGCCCCTGTTTTTATTTTTTTTTTAATTTTTTTTTTATTTATTTTTTTTTCCTTTTTTTGTCTTTTTTCGTGTCTGGCAACGGATCGCAACCCTCAGTGTCACGCCCGTACCGGACCAGGACCGGCAACGGGATCACAGCCCTCGGCGTTGCGCCCGCACCTCGCTCAGCCAGTGAGCGGGAACCGGTCTGTATGTGGGATCCGAACCCTCGGCAGGAGCGCCGCCGCGCTCCCAAGCGGCGCACTGTAGCAATGCGCCACCGGGCCGTCCCACCCTGTTTTTATTTTTAACAGCAAGTCAATTAAGACATAAATTGCTTGAATGTAAAAAGCAGGTTACAAGATATTGTATTATATTCACCAAGTTGCCATTTTCTTCAAAAGAAAAAAATTTAGATACTTAGAAGGAGAGGTCTGGGAAGAGACATATACTAAAATGCTAACAGAGATTTTCTCTGGTTAGTGAAAAAAAGATAGAAATTGCCTTTATACATACATGTTACATACATGTATATAAATACATATGTGTGTGTATGTACATATATGTATTGCTTTTTAAAATAATTTTCTCTTATAGATTTGGCCATAATGCACACCTAGCACACAAAAGTACAAAAATGAAGGTAAATCACATTAAGAAATAAACTTACTGTTCCCCAGGGTCCACGTCTCTCAAGCCAATATATACAATATCCTTGGCAGATATGCAGGGAGTCACCCAGGAGAATCCTGGTACATCAGGAATCTAAAATTGCAGTTTCCATTTGGTTATATGTGCTTCTCTTGAGCAACTTCTACATTTAAAGTTAAGGACACTCGTTGATTGCATATAATATTTAGACTATACATTTAGAGGAAATCATTTTAAACTAATACAAAATTAAGAAGGAATATCTGCCTTTCCTCGTGGTGCCCTCGATTGCTTTGGCCTTTCCAGCCTCAGCCTGTGGCCCAAATCCACCCTGAACCACTTAGCATTTACCTGCATTGTGCCCCATTTCTGCTGGGCCCTGTTTTCCCAGAACACTTCTATAAAGAAGTGAGTGTGCTTCCACTACTTTGGTAGCTTCCTTCTTTACTTTTCTTTCTCAATATGGACTTAATCCAGAGGATGGCCTGGAGTGGCTGAGGGAAATTTTTGACCAAACCTTTGGTTGCTCTTCAAACCATAATGCAGCAATATCTGCTATGTCCTGGAGCCAAGCTTAGTTGTTCCCATGTGCTAGCTAGACATTTTGCAACTTTATAAACCCATCATTTAATCATCAGTTTAAAAAATGTTACTTCTGAGCATTTAACATAAGGAGGTTTGAATCCCCTTGCATCATCTTAAGGACCAATATACTACAACTGTATCAATGAGAATTATTTTTATTGATATACTATAGCCTAGCAATAAAAATTATGATCCACAATGTTAAATCTTAATCTGAAATTTTATCTTCTATCTTTTTGAAAAGAAATTTCTAGGAAGCAAGGAGGTAGTTCTTCCTCTTATGATTTAGATAGGTGCTTCTCACAGTAAAGATGTTAACTAATAAACTATTGTAATCTACATTTAAAAACTCCATTTTTGAAAAGGCTCTATGATGTAGCAGGAGCACTTTGTAAGAATGTAAGGCTGGGTGGCATGTAGTAGTGGACAGGGTTAGGAGTATGAGACCTGATTCTGGCCCTTGCTTCAGTATACTCTTAGCTTATGATTTTGGGCAAGTTGGTTAACCTCTGAACTTCTGTTAACTTGTTTATAAAGTAAAGTATTACTCTGTGCCACACCTGCTAAAAAGGCGAGTTTAAGAATCAAAAGGGAAGATATATATGAAGTTAGTTTGCAATCTACCAAGTAAGATAAAGGTAGAGAGCCTTGCCAAACCTTTGTCAACCAACCCTTTGCTTATTGGCTGCATAGAAAATGGTTTGAGATTACACCAACAATAAAATGGCATAGGGGTCCTTACTTCCCTTTCACCTGAACTTCTGCTAAAGAGTACTTTTTGTAATAGAACGTCAACCAGCCTTTTACCTTTCCTTTTAGTTCCTTCAGAAGGAAAGACACTGGTTGTCCGTGCAAGTTCCCACTTGTGGTTGTTAGTGGAGTGTTGATATCAGTGTGAGCATCCACCCAAATGACACCGAGATCAGGGTGGACTCTGGCATGGCCGGAGATGCTTCCAATCGCCAAACTTTAGAGGAAGAAAGTTTGTGTGAACAGTAGGTTTGTAATGTCATTGTATACATAGTATTTTTAACTCAATGTACCCACTTGGTTTTCCTTTAAGTCAAAGTGGCTGATGTTTCTGATAATTTTTAAATTAGAGATGCCAATTAAACAATTATTAGAGTAGAGAAACTATAGCATACACTTAATAGTTACTAACAAGTTGTATTTATATCAATAACATTACTAAAAAATCTGATGATTTTTTTCAAAATCCACCATGTAGTAAAATCACAATTTAGCAACAAAAAATAAATGAGTATAAAAACACTAACTACACAAGAAATTCCTTAGCCCGAGACCCTGTTCAATTCTCAAGGTTAAATCTGGCTTGTTTTCTGCCCTCTCATTTCTCATGGTAAATGCTTAATTCTCTCAAGTGATTTATGACAAAGTCCTTCTATTTTTCTTTAAATCTCTCTCTTTTATAATTAGGGAGTGTCACTCAGATGCTTTTATGTCCACATCAGCTGGTGCTGCCCACTCACTCTGTTCAGTGCTCAGAGCCTCTGCTTTAAACTGACTACTCTCCAACCACACATTTTATGACTACTCTTTAACCAGGAACCATCAAAGTTCATCCCAAATTCTCCAAGCTCCAGATATTTTGCCAGAGTGGAAGAGCTAACTAATATCTTGCACAGAAGTTAAAAGATTGGGAGGCACTATGCAATGCTTGTACTCTCCCACTTGTGAATATTTACATATCATTCAGGGGATCATGAACTTTGAGATTCTCAATGTGGAAGCAATCATGCCTTGACGTTCAGGTACTGATTATTCAGCTTGCTGTTTGTTTTCTCTTCAGGTTGCTTGTCTTTTGGCCATTTGCCACTCTTCAAATTTCCACTTACAAGTTTTCCACTTAAAAAAGCAAGTGAGCCCCAGTTTCTCAATTGTAATTTTGTTACAGAAGCCCTGGTTAACATTTTGGTTTTGGAAAAGGAAACTGAGGGGGGCTGAAGTAATTGACTCCCCCATCAGGAGCCACAGGAATGTTTCCCTCCACTTTTTTTTATCTAACCAGACCTTTTCTGGTAACATCCTGGGACCTCGAGAGTAGACATTAAAAAGGATTGTGCACAGGGTCGAGCCCGTGGCGCACTCGGGAGAGTGCGGAGCTGGGAGCGCAGCAGCGCTCCCGCCACGGGTTCGGATCCTATATAGGGATGACCGGTGCGCTCACAGCGCTCACTGGCTGAGCACGGTGCGGCCGGTCTCAAAAAGGACAAAAAAAAAAAAAAAAGGTTTGTGCACAAAAATTATCTTTGCTATAGTGTTTGTAATGGTGAAAATTTGAATGTAATCTGAATATCTGAAAATATGAATAATATAGGGACATAATCCCTTGATGAAAAATTATACAGCAAGCAGCAAAAAACTGATGCTCACAATGTTTATGTGTATGAAGTAACATAAGGAAATTTGTACTGTAGGTTAAGAACAAAACATAAGATATCATACACACATGCACAAACACACACACACACACATACATAAACATTGTTAAACAGAATCATAATGTACAAGGAAAAAAAGATGCCATGAAGGAAATGTGCCAGATTTTCAATTTTAGTTGAAATTGTTGTAGAGGAAGTACAATTACCACTGGGTTTTTTTCTTTTATATATATGTGAATGTGTATGTGTGTGTGTACAAGTGCTTTCAAAAATTTTATAATTATTACTTCTATAATAGAAAACACACTTTTAAGTTGTTTATCTAAACAAGTTATATGTAATTAAGTACAGTAAGCTGTTTATTTATAAATCTAAGCCTGTGCTGAAGATTTTGCTGAAATCCATTCGTATTTCATGTGTTTTCTGCTGTAATAGATAAAAATAAAGATACTGTAAGACTTCAAATAGAATTGTCTATGTTTCTGTAATAAAGAAGTAACCTGTGAAATGTTTATTTAAAAGGCAGAAGAGTATTTGGTATGAAATATTGATCAGTTCATTCCTGTCTCTATTTTCTCTCTTCTGATGGTCTTGGCTCTACACCCTCTATGCCATTTGTGCCAGACTCCCATAGACAGAATCGTTCCACAAGACCTGTGGTCTCCGCCCAGCACCAGGCTGACTCTTCCGTTCTTCTTGACTTCTGCCACCACGCCAGCCAGCTGCTCACTTGCTTTTCCCACAGACCTGGGATTCTTCACAATGTGAAAGGGACTGTCATTAGGGACATCCGTGAAGGGCAGGTCCCCATAATCTTTCACATCACACTCTAAAATTAAAATAAAAGTTTAAATTTACTAAGTGAAAAAGATAAATTGCAAATCAGCCTGTGTATGATGACTCCAAATGTACAAAATAAGTATATTTTCAAAAGTAGAGGCAAAAAAAAGTCTGAGAACTGTAAATATGAGGGTAGAAACCAGGTCTGCTTCTGCCTGACATCATTTCACCAGTACCACACGCAAATGCCTGCCCTCAGTGAATACCTCTGGAATTGATTGGCTAGACTAGACACTGAAATATAATCGTAATAACCTTCTGGTTTGGGCTTAATGGGGGACAGCACTGTCTTTGTCTCTATCTCGCTGTCTCCCTCTCCTATGTGAATTCTACCATTCTGTAAAAAGCATGTTTTCTTTTTATAATAAATAGTTTATATCTCTCTCTATATATACTTGTATATATAATATATATTTACAAAATTAAGAAAATACTGGTATATTTTCTTCTGCACATAAATATATGTAATCTGTGTTAACAACCCTTGGTATCAATCCAATCTGTCACCTGCTGAAGCAGCTCAGCCTCCTCGTCTCTCTGTTGTACCTGCCTCACAGTGGTGGTGTCAGAATTAAACAAGAATATATGCTTAACACTGAGCCTAACACTTTAGAGAGCTTGGTAAATGAAGACTTTTTATTATCCTCTTTAATAAGGAAAAATTGCACGTAACCCAAAATTTCTAAGGACCCAGTGTGCTTTCTAAAAGGCCCTAAATTAGGCTTCAAAAGTAGAGGGCTTCGTGTAAAACTGTGACATGGGGTCAGAAGGACATGTCCATTCACCCAAGCTTTCTGTTCTCTATTGGTGTCTTTTCTTCTTTTATTGGGGGGGGGGGGTGCATATAATTCTTACTCACTAAAATTCACTCATTTTAAGTGCACAGGTCAATGAATTTTGGAAATATCCACAGTCTTGAAACCATCATTACAATTAAGATTTAAAACACTACCATTCCCTCCCTCAAATTCCCTCATGCCCCCTTAGTTCATTCCTCTTCCCACCCCCAGGAACTGCTGATCTGCTTTCTTTTGCTGTGCTTTTGTCTTTCCAGAATTTCATATCAATGACTCAAACAGTATGGAACCTTTTGTGTCTGGACTCTTCCACTTAGCATGTTGTTTTTAAGATCCACCCATATCTTTGCCTGGGTCATTAGTCTGTTCCTTTTTATTGTTGAGTCCTCTGTCATGGTGTGGATGTACCATTTTTTGTTCATCCATTCACCCGCTGATGAGCATTTTGTTGTTTCCATTTTTTTGTTATTATAAATACTGCTGCTACAAACATTCAAGTTTAAGTCTTTGTGTGGATATATATTTTCACTTCTGTTGGGTAAATACCTAGGAGTAGAACTGCTGGGACAAAAGGCAAAATATTTGTTTACTTAAGAAACTGCCAAACTGCTTTCCAACGTGGCTGTATCATTTTGCATTCCCATCAGTTGTTCCACATTCTCTCCACCATTTCATTAGGTATTTATATATAAAAATAACATATATGTAAATATAATTTTGCATTTGCATGCTTATGTGTGTGTATATATATATGCATGTGTGTACACATATACACACTGTGCAAACACTAGATATCATTATTATTATTAATTACTGTTTCATTTTATTTTCTTTCACAAATAGAGGTCCTCTGCTAGTAGTATATACTTCCTGCTGCTCCTCACCTTTGGTTTTCAATTCCCCCAATTCTCCTACCACCCCATCCCTAGTCCTCGCACACACAGATTCTCTTGTACAATAGTTTGGCTGAGGGGCTAGCTGGTTAGCTCAGAAGGTTAGAGCATGATGTTATAACCAAGGTCAAGGGTTCGGATCCCCACACCAGCCAGTCACCAAAAAATTTAAAAAGTAGTTTGTCTAGAAAGACAAACTGAGTGAGATGTTCCTCTAACATAGCATTCTCCCCATGCCCTGTTCCTTTTATAGGATGCACCTCTAAAGTTATAGCCAGTTCTGCAATTCTGGTATAAATGTTATTCCAGACACACTTCATGTTCACAGGAGCCTGTTCCTTCCTTCAGAGTGGGGAGGAAATCAGGCTGATCATCTTTCAACTAAAAAATTACCTTGTTCTTTAAGTTTCTCAAGCAGACCAGCCTTTCTCAATACTGTAGGGCCTTCTTCCACCCCTCCTCGTGGCTGAACAATTAAAAAATAAAGTACTTCAGACATTATCATGACCATCAGATGTTTACAATAGGAACCCTTTTCATTATTTAATCAGTTGAATTGTAACTATGATTTTTTGATCTTCTACAGAGCCAGGAATTTACATTATCTCATTTAATCTTCACAGCAAAGTAGACTGAATTACTCCTATGCCAAACAGGAAGAACTAGAATCATAAAAGTTGTGTGATTTTCCTACTGGCACACGGCTAATAAGTAGCAGAGCCTCCGTTCATATCCAGGTCTTTAGATTCCAAAACCTGCATCCCTTCTTCCCATCACACCGTGTTGTCAACATGGTGAACACATGTTTTGTGCAAAACCACTCTGAAAGATGAAGATTCAATAATGAAAAGGAGAGGGCTTCTGTCATTGAGTCACTCATAAGCCAATAGGAGGTTTGGAGATTTAACCCAATTACAGTACAAAGATAGTCACTTCAATGCAGATATAAGATGTCATAGTAACAAAAACAAGATGCCCCTAACTCTGTGGGGGACAGGGTGTGCCGGGTGTATCAGTAAAGGCTGCATGGAACAGATGACACTTAAGCTGAGTCTTGCAACACAAGTAGATAGAAAAACAGATGGGGTAGTGGAGGAATTTTGCAAACCACGACAACAGCTTGGGCAAAGGAATCGGAAAAGAAAGAGCATGGCACAAAAGTGACCTATGTGCAGGTCCTCACAGCAGTGTTAGGGCTCTTGGGGAGAAAGCGGCAAACAGGGAAAATTATCTCCTGGGAGCTGAAACCACAAAGACCAGCCGTTTCAAGTTTTGGCCTGCTTAAACAGATAATGAGAGATTCTACCCTTGCAGTTATGACATTAGGGAAGCTAACACTCTCCCTCCTTGCGGCAAGTCTGCCCAAGCCCCTTGGCTGCCTAGAGGTCTAAAAAAAATGGTTCTTTTCTGTATCTTTCTGATTCTAATTTCCAATGGGGCTTATTCAGAAAGTTATTTCTTACTATCAGACGAGAAGATGTGCCAAAAGACACGTGTCTATCCCTAGGATGGGAGCTGCAGTGCCAAACAGCAAATCTTTTTTTCCATGCAAATGACCAGATGACTTGTCCTGGGTGCCAGAGTCCCATCCCTGGCAGCAAGAGACCCCACGCGCTCTGCCTGACACACTCCGCTTCTTGACTCCACTCGCTTTTTACTTGACCCGCTTCCTGCCCCCTGTTCAACAGATGTAATTTCTGTTTCTTTAAACCCCAGTAAGGTGCTTCTTGGTTCATATTTTGCCTTTAGTTTTGGGTCTGTTTTTGTCTTTTCCCCATTGTTAGGTTTCAATACAACTTTCTTTACCTTTGGGACACTATATTTTGTAGTGTAGAACTGACCTATATAGTAGATGCTCAAAAAGTATCAATTTGATAAAACTCCCTGGACTTTTTTTCACTCTCTCTTTCAGACTTGACACCAAATCTCATAGACCCCTTTGTTGATACAGTATTTGCTATAACACGGTCATTAAATCTCCCAGGGTGACGTTTTCTAGCCTTCTTTTTTATTCGTTTGATTCAAACTGCTTTTCCTGACCGGTCTGTGCTCATTGCTTGGTTTGTCAGTCTGCTTTGGCAGCTCTACTGACTTTCTAAGCTGGGCCCAATCCCTGCCTGGCCACAAGTGTGAGATCCGCTATGGAGCCTGAAGAGGTGTTGATGCAGGTCAGAGGCACAGGCTTTGGAATCAGCCAGTATGATCTGGAATCTTGGACCTTGAGCAGATTATCAAACCTCTCTGAGCCTTCACTAACCCAACTGTAGGTAAAAATAATACCTACTTCATTGTTTTCTCACTGCTTTGCAAGGAGATGAGGCAGCGAATGGAGCCCTTTCTCAGACTCAAACTTATAACTCATTCCAAGAATAGGTAAGTGTATTGTAGATTTTAAAAGAAACACTTCTGTGTCAGCAAAATGTCCCTGTTCTGGGAGAGACCTTTGGAAGATGTCCAGGGGAAGTGAAACAGTGCGTATTTACTGACAGTCCAAATGCAGTTTGGGTCTCTAACCTCTGACCTTTCCCAATTTGTTTTGCAATAAAAAGCCAGAGGACCCAGCAAGAGTTCCAAATTAAGGGGGCTAAAATTTTTCCCAAATTCTGAGAAACCTGAAGAAAAGCCCCATTAAAAAATAAACTTTAGGAGTTACGCATCACAAATAGTCTTATTTGGTTTTTTCTTTCTTTTTTCTTTTTAATCACAGATGCACCCATGTTACAGTTTAAGGTCTTCTGTCATCTCATTATATGAGGTATCTTCAAAAAGTTCATGGAAAGAGTCATATTATTTTTTAATTCTATTTTTTCCACTAACTTTTTGAAGTACCTATTTACCAAAATGAATGTTCCCAGACAGTAAAAAAAAGACTGTATTTAAATGTTGTTGGCATGTGCTGAGTCACAGACAGGTGGCCCTAAGACAATCTAGGAGTTTCATAAATCCATTAATCCTTTCAGTGTTTCCAATTTGCAGTAGGATTTTTCTTTTTTTCTTTTTTGTTTTTCTCCCCTGAAAGAGAGATACGTAAAGGATCCTACCTAGCCCACGAACTAACAGTTTTATAGAATTATTAAAGCCCTAAAATAATATAAATCCTTCACAAAGCTGCATAAAGCAATAACATTTAGGTTACCCAAATTAAAGAAGTCTGAAGTCAAGGGTTAGGATCGCTATTACCAGCCAGCCATCAATAACAATAACAAAAAATCAAAATAAGTAAATAAAAGAAGACCGAATGTATTAAATTTTTCCAGGCATTAATTATGTAACTAAACAAATGTGTTTTCTTAAAATTCTCTCTCCCTCTGTGTACACATGGTAACATCAAAAACAAGACTTAAATGAGTAACTAAAATGCAGAAATAGGTCGTTTCAATTCAAATAACTATTTTCTCTTTTAAAAAATATAAGAAACATGCAGTAGATTCAAATGAAATTGGCTTTGGTTGAAACAGAAGTGACAAGAGTAAGTGGGCTCGTGAACTTAATTATATGCTGTTGCAAAATGATGAAAGAACTATAAAATATGCATTTCCAGGAAACTTAGCTAAACAGACAATAACATCTTACAAGTTTTAAAGTCCAAAATTTTCCAATAAATTTCTATTATTCAAAGCCAGGCTTTTTACTCACCTGTCCCTTTGAAAAAGGAGCTCCGATAATCCCTATGGATTTTGACTTGGAACTCATGCTCTGACACTTCTCGTTGCTGTACCTGTGGTCTCCAGCCAGTTGCCACCCTCTGCAACCCTCAATGACAGAGGACACATCTTTTTTTTTCCATTTATAATTGGGTTGAATCTGTTTACCTTTACTCTAATGAGGACAGCTGGCTCCACCTACTGAACCGAAGAGTGACAGAGTCAACAGAAAGTCTTGCAAATTCTTCACATGTGGAATAACCATGAGTCTAGGTCTCTGACTAAGTGAGCATTATTCATGATCCTAGTTCACAGCTTTTTTAGAGAGCCAGCCAGAGGACTTTAATCTCTCCTTAGATAATGGACAGTTACATGTGGTTTCACAACCACATAAACAGCACTATCCTTCTAGCTGTGCAACCCCAGGGCAGGGAACTTTCCTCCTCTAGGTCTCTTTAGTCCTCTTGTAGAATAAGGGCTGGGACTGGCAAGATGGCCTCTCACATCCCTTCCAGTTCTAACATCCTGCGTTAAGGTTCACACACTAGGATAAATGGTTAATCCATGGTACACATTTCACATACCACTAGGGCACACTGTCAGGGAAAGCATATGACCTTTTTTTTATTATTATTACTCGAAGAAAAAAGTGGTTACTGGATTGATAACCCAGAGGTGTTACCATTTTTGAAATATTTTTTGGAGTCATAATATCATAATCAGGTATAGAAACAAAAATAGCATTGAGTTTTTATCATGTGCTAGACGCTGTTCAGTTTTATATTACCTCATTTAACTCTTATAACAATTTTATATTAAGTCTCACCATTAGTGCCATCATTAGTGCCATTAGTGACATTTTACTGATGATGACACTGAAGCTCAGAGAGGTTGCCAAAGATCACACACAGGTTGTAGAGAAAGAGCCAAGGTTCAGTCTTAGGCATTCTGGATCCATCTAACCACTGCACTTACCGTCTAGACACCAGTTGGTGTCAGCTATTAACTGCCTGTGTGCTCCTGGTATGTTGTTTATCATCATGCAAAAATATGGATTTAGAAGAAACAAACCCTGTAGAACCTTCCAACTTCTAAAACTAAAGGCAAAATATGAACCAAGCAGCAACTTGCTGGGATTTAAAGAAGTCCTGCTCCTCCCAAATCATTTACTTCTATTTGCTTTAGAGTTTACCTTTTACATTTAGCTCTTTAATCCATCTAATCCATCTCTGTATATTGTGTAAATTTTCCAGTTATATTGTTTCCTATTTCATCCATCAGTTTCCTCAACAACTCCCACTGAACAGCTCATCTGTTTTGCCACTGTTATGAGGGCTATCTGTCATGGAGCTCTTTCTTCTGTTCCATTGACTAATTTACCTATGGCTGCACCCGGTCGCTGAGGCTTTTTTATTATTGTTTTGTGGTGTATCCTATCATTGCTTGGATGGGAGTAACCTTTTGGCTCTTCTTTTTCGAAATGTACTTACCTTTTATGAGCTTCTATTCTATATATTTAGAATAAGTTGTTGAATTCCACAAAAAAAGAAACACTAGAATTTTTTCTGAATTTATAGATTAATTCATAGAGATTTGCTGTCTTTCAAATTTTATTGCAGAATTTTTTATTTTTTTATTCCAAATATCTTAACATTTATTTGTATATATTTGTGAAGTACAGTGTATTGTTTCAACACATGCATATACTGCACAATGATTCACTGAGGGTAGACAGCAGAGTTTTGTACCCATTAATCCACCATTTCCCCACCCCCCACCCAACCACCCGCCTCTGGTAACCATTATTCTACTCTCTACTTCTATGAGAACCACTGGTTTTGTTTTTGTTGTTGTTGTTTTTTAGATTCCACATATGAGTTATATCGTGTGGTGTTTGTCTTTTCATGTCTGACTTACTTCACTTAACATGATAGTTTCTAGTTTCACCCATATTGCTGAAAATGGTAGGATATCTTTTTAACAGCTGAGTAGTATTCCATAGTGTATATATAACACAGGTTTTTTATCCGTTCATCTGTTGAAGGGCATTACGTTGATTCCATCTCTTAGCTATTGTGAATAGTGCTGCAATAAATACAGGCATGCAGGTGTCTTTCAATGTATTGATTTCATTTCCTTTAAGTATATACCCAGTAATGGGATAGCTGGGTAGTAGGGTAGATCTATTTTTAGTTCTCTGAAACCCTATACTGTCTTCCACAGTGGCTGTACCAATTTACACTCCCACTAGCAATGTAGGAGAGTTCCTTTTTCTCTGCATCCTTGCTAGCATTTGCTATTTTTTGTCTTGTTGATAATAGCCATTCAAACTGAGGTGACTTGATATCTCATTGTGGTTTTAATTTACTTTTCCCTGATGATTTGTGATGTTGAGCATTTTTTTCAAGCACCTGTTGGCCATTTATATATCTTTTGAGAAATGTTTGTTCAGGTCCTTTGCCCATTTTGAAATTGGGTTATTTGGTTTTTTGCTGTTGAGTCATTTAAGTTCCTTATACATTCTGGATATTAGCCCCTTGTCTGATGTGTAGTGTGCAAACACTTTCTCCCATTCTGTAGGTCTGTAGGTTGTTGCTTCCCTTTGTTGACAGTGTCCCTTGCTGTGCAGGAGCTTTTATTCTGATGTAGTCCCATTTATGTATTTTTGCTTTAGTTGCCTGTGCCTTTGTAGCCTTGCTCAAAAAAGTGTTACCCACTCTCATTTCATGTAGCATTTTTTTCTGTTTTCTTCTAGTAGTTTCATAGTTTTGGGTCTTAAATTTAGGTCTTTGATCTATTTTGAGTTGATTTTTGTGTATTGTGAGAGATAGGGGTCTAGTTTCAATCTTCTGCCTGTGGATATCCAGTTTTCCCAACACCATTTGTTGAAGAGACTGTCGTTTCCCTATCATATATTTTTGGCACCCTTATCAAAAATCAGTTGGCTGTAATTGAGAGTGTTTATTTGGGGGCTTTCTATTCCATTCTGTTGGACAATTTGTCTGTCTTTATGCCAGTACCATGCTGTTTTGGTTATAAATAGCTTCATAGTATATTTTGAAGTCAGGAAGTGTGATGCCTCTAACTTTGTTCTTTTTATTCAAGATTGATTTCACTATATGGTGGGATCTTTAGTCATTCCACACAAATTCTAATATTGTTTTTTCTATTTCTGTGAAGAATATCATTGGTATTTTGATAGGGATTGCATTGAATGTGTAGATTGCTTTGGGTAACATGGATATTTCAATGATGTTAATTCTTCCAACCCATGAACAATGATATATCTTTCCATTTATTTGTGTTCTCTTCAACTTTTTTCACCAATGTGTTTTAGTTTTCATTGTAGAGGTCTTTCACTTCCTTTGTTAAATTTACTCCTATGTGTTTCATTTCTTTTGGTAGCTATTCTTTTTTTTTTTTTTTTTTAAAGATGACCGGTAAGGGGATCTCAACCCTTGGCTTGGTGTTGTCAGCACCACGCTCAGCCAGTGAGTGAACCAGCCATCCCTATATAGGATCCGAACCCGTGGCCTTGGTGTTATCAGCACTGCACTCTCCCGAGTGAGCCACGGGCTGGCCCTTTTGGTAGCTATTCTGAATGGGATTACTTTCTTGGTTTCCTCAGCTATTTTGTTGTTGGCATATAGGAAGGCTATTGATTTTTGTATGTTGATTTTGTATCCTGCCACTGTACTGAATTCATTTATTAGTTCTAGTGATTTTTTGGTTGAGTCATTAGGATTTTCTTTGTGGATGCCTTTAATTGCTTTCTCTTGACTTATTGCACAATATTGTTGAATAAGAATGGGGAAAGTTGGCATCTTTGTCTTATTCCAGATCTTAGAGGAAAAGTTGTTGGCATATAAAAGGGCTAATGGTTTGTGTATGTTGAACCATGCTTGCATCCATGGGATGAATCTCACTGGATCATGGTGTGTGATCTTTTTAATCTGTTGCTGGATTCTGTTTGCTAGTATTTTATTGAGGATCTCTGTGTCTGTATTCATTAGGTATGTTGTTCTGTAGTTTTCTCTCTCTCTTTTTTTTTTTTTTTTTTTTTTTTTTTTTTTTTTTTTTTTTTT